GTTCACAATGGATATGCCTAACCAATTATAGTACAATATGGTATAATAGTCCTCCACTTGAATTGAAAGTTGGCATCCTTTCCAGTGAAACGAGAAGTGGATAGCGAAAAGGAATGATTCAAAAAGTGACGTTTATCAAATATATAGAGTATCTCCAAATACTTCTTAATTACTTCAAATATATTCAAGTACATCTCAATTACTTAAATTACTACTTTCGAGTATTTTAATTATCTATGATTATTTATTAAATATTTTGATTCTATTGAAAATGTTCTGATTACTTATTAAATGCTTGATTACTTTTCAAATATTTTAAGTCCTACAAAGACACGTTAATTACTTACAAATACCGTTAAGTAAATATCAAATATTTTAAATATGGTGTACACTTTTTTGGAAGTTGTTTGCCCCTCGTTTATTGCAATCAAATTTAAAATTAAATTATCTCGCATTTTAGTAGAGTATTTTAGTAGAGTAAAGCTCAGACTACTACTATTCCCCTAATTTTACCAATAAAGATATATAACTCTCGCCAGGAAAGATTGCCGGTCACAGCACACCTTGTGTCCATTTACAAACTATGTTTTTCTTAAGATGCGAGCGACTTCCGGAATAGGATCGTGCCAATGGTGAACGAAAAGTCTTTTTGTTCAACATTGACACGATACTACCCCGGAAGTCGCTCGCATCTTTAGAAAAACATAGATTGTAGACCGGGATCAAGTGTTCTATGACCGGCAATCTTTCCTGGCGAGAGGTTTATAGAGAAAGTGGAAGGCAGTTATAGCTACTTTGAATAGCACTCAAGCTACCAATGAGCATCCTGTATATAGACAATTAATTATAATTAGGTTAGCATGTAAGCAACTTTTATATTGATCAGCAATTATTAATGCAGTAAGATGAAGCATAGACCATGAAGTGATCCAAGCCATGTCCAAAAATATACAATTTAATTGTTTTATGAAAACGTCGAGGTCGACCTTTTCTAACGAACTATAACTAACTAAATTAGACAATCGTTCAAAAATGTCTCTGGTGGCAGTATTTAATTCTGGTTTTAGTGCTAAATAACGCAATGGTCACTCAAAAGAAGTTTGTTGTATTTTGAGCAGCATTTTTCATTTGACATGGTAATTTTGTCAAATGAAAACCACAATTTTGCCTATGCAGAAATCTTGAAAGTAATTAAATGCACCCGTATGAAAGCAGCAACCAAAAGGCGCAAGCCATTTTTGCGAAGTTGGCGGAAGATGACGTCACACAGTAAAATCTAAAAACCATATGAAATAGTGACGTCACAGTTTAAATGCCTGTTTACGCGTTGCTGGAAAACTCTACAGCATCTTTGCGAACAAGAAAATAAAAATTGCATTCATTGCAAATGACAAAGACACCTTAGCGGCCGTACCAAGAGCAAATCGTCACTTGCACGCATTTTTCTCGCAGAGAGTTGCTACAATTCTGTTTCTTAATTCTACTTTATAGCAATTTGCCAACAAGAAAATGAATATTGCGTCTCTTACGGGAACTTCCAAAAGCGCACAAAAGAACAAATTATCAAGCACGCGGCAAGTATGTGCATTGATAATTTGTACTTTGGTACGCCCCTGGAGATTCCATTATCATTTGCAAGGGGCGCAATTTTCATTTTCCTGTTGGTAAAGGTAAAGTAGAACCTGCCAGCAACGCGTCATGACTCAGAATACCTAGAGATTATCGGTTACCCTGAGAAATTTGACATTTTCAGATTGCAGTCTACGTTAACATGCGAGCAGGGTCTCTTGGAAAAACCGAAAGCAATGATGACACATCTAGAAAGTAGCAGCTAGTGGATAGGAATATTCCGATGCGCGAAATTCAAAATGCGAATAAAAACTTATTCATTGAAAACTGCTTCCTAAATCCAAAGAGTATATCTAAATCCTACCTTTCTCTGCACGTAAGTAACATCATCATTTCACCACCATAATCCACCCTCGTCCAAAAAAAGTTAAAACACCAAACGCCTACGAGAACCACACACAAACACGGCCGCGAAACAACTCCCATTTCGTAAATAGTCGAATTTAACATTTGGCGTTATCAACTTACCTGCAGCCACGTCTGGTTTTTCCATTTAGACGTGTCAATGTATGCCAACTCATTTAATTATCTACACTTTATCGGCCTAAGATATTAGAAATTGAAAACACATCTCTTTTTCATTCTTCTTTTGCGTTCTGCGCAATGTAATTTCTTTCAGAACTTGCATTTTGTTAGAATGTTGGATTTCGCAAAGGTTTATTCATCAACCGTGGTCAAAAGCAGAGCTGGGTAGAATACTTTCAAAAAGTATTTGATACTAAATAGTAAATACTTTACACAAATCAAATGTATTTGAATACTAAATACTTTTACGTTCAGCGCAAGCGAATACTATAGATACAGATACATTGAAAAGTATTCGAATACTTTCGAAAGTATTCTAATACTATCAAAGGTATTCGAATACTATAATAAGTATTCGAATACTTTGAAAAGTATTCGAATACAGTAAAAAGTATTCAAATACTTGTCACTCAAATACATTAAAAATTTAAAATAGTATACTAGATAAAAGGCTTAATACTACTTAAAAAATCAAGTTATACTTTGTATGGGGTTAGCTTTTTTTATATTTCTATTGTTATATACAAATTTAAGGGGAGTAAAAGCGTATTATTATTATTATATTATTATATAGGAGGTACTTACCAGGACCTTTCTTATACCAGTTATATCCTTAAGAATACGTGTACCAGTTTTCAAAGCGTCGTGCACATGATACGTACGCCCTTCTGAAATTAATCCTAGCGATTTTGGAACAGATCCGTTTGTCCGTGTGTATGATAACTTGTTTAAAAACGTGCGATCGCTTTGAAAATTGGTACACATGGTCTTAAGGATATAAGAAAGGTCCCTAAGTTACGTAGACTATCGAGTTCGGTATTCAGATGCATCGGATTTTTATATTTGATTTTGTGACAATGGAAACTCTCCTTAAACATTTCTAAATTGTTCTCAAATATTTGAATAACTTAAAAGTACTGCCTTTTCTTGAGGCCGGAAAAAAAATTGTCTGAGATCAACCGGGAAAAAACATTTTCCTATAGAATGTGGCCTGTAGAATCCATAATTTCAAACAGTTCCAAGATTGGGCTAATAGTTCAAAAGTTACAGCCCTTTGAATTTTTTTTCGAAATTTGTTTTTTGTCCATAACTTTTTATTGAGAGGTCTAATCGAAAACGTACGAATTGTTTTGGATTCTACGCACCAAAATTAATAAGAAAAAGTGTTTTCCCGAGAAGTTTTGGCGCAGTCGATTTTTGGTAGAAAAGGAAGATTATACACTGCCTTTTTTTGAGGCCCGCAAAAAAAATTGTCTCAGATCGACCCGGAAAAAAATTTTCTTATAGAATGTGGCATGTAGTATCCAAAATTTCAAACAGTTCTAAGATTGAGCTACTAGTTCAAAAGTTACAGCCCTTTGAATTTTCTTTCGAAATTGGTTTCTAGTCTATAACTTTTGATTGAGAAGTCTGATGGACAAAGTACGAATTGTTTTGGATTCTACGCACGCAGGTTAAGTATTCAAATACTATGCGAAGTATTCGAATACTTCTCAAAGTATCCAAATACTTTGAGAAGTATTCGAATACTAAATATTTGTGAAAGTATTTGAGTTACAAATACAAATACTGCTTCCATAAAAGTATTTAATTACAAAGTATTTGAATACTTTAAAGGATTTGAATACTAAAAAGTATTTACAAAATCGAATACTGCCCAGCTCTGGTCAAAAGGAATAAAACGGCTAAACATTCCATGTTTGCACTTTTCATTGATGCAGTTTCTACACACTTACAGAATTAGTTTTGGATTGAGTCAATTTATAAATTAGCCCTCACCCCATACGTAATATTTGAAAAATTATGAAGAATACAGCTAAAGACCGTTTACTGCATCCAACAGGTTCAAAATGACTATATTTCGTCAAAATTTTTCTACAAACCACCAGGGTTTGACTTTGAATAAAAATAGAAACACACTTAACCAAGCATGTACATTGTACAACTAATTATCAAATTTAGTTCATTTAAATGGTGCAACTGTCGCCTGTAATACTCAATGGTATTTAAAGTGTATTTGTAGGCAACAAATTTTGTACCAATCTAAACCGAAGCTTTTGAGGAATCAGTATACCTAGATCCCAAACCCTCAGATGGAAATGAGTCTTATCTCCCCCAATAAAAGAGATATTGAGGTGACCCTCTTATCTTGAACGCACTGTATAATATTGTTTGACAAAAAAATTAGTTCCCGATCAAAACCGGGTTTTTTATGTATGTAAATTGGGAAAAAATAATATCACTAATAAATAGAAAATTTTGTAATTTGTGGTAAAACTATTCATTTTAGGCGAAAATGTTTGAAGTAAAAGTGGTAGGGAATAAAAATGGACATCTTTTGTATCTACACGTTTTTCACATAACCTCCCCAAATTTTTTGAGATTGTACAATGTGTTCCAAAAGAATGTAGTATAGCAAGTAATAGGCAACCGTTGCATCATTCAAAGCGGAATTTAATTCCAGACTAGATATACGGGGTATAGCAATGTGCTCAAGGTTGTCTATTTTAAAGAATTATTTTTAAATCACCAAATTTAAAAAGAAGTATCGTTAATTCTAAGGTAATAGTTACCTACGATTTTGTTAAACTTCATACTTGTGTATCTGGTCACTGGTGATATTTTTTCGAGTACCTACGGCCTTTGGTGGTATATACCAACCGTTTCTGACAAAAATAACAATTTGAAAGGATTGGTTCACTCTACAAAGCGAATATCCTCGGCATTCATTACATAAACATTGTTATTGCTTTGAATTCCCACAGCAAAAACTTTCCGAACAGTACAAATACTATATTTAGTAATTAGAAAAGCCAAAACTGTGCTGATCAGTCTGGTCTAGTACAATGGATGAAATTCGACGTCTCCCATCCGAACTTCAAAAGAAAGCGGTAAACGAACTAAATGAAGATCCACAACGGACTCAACAAGCGCTGAAGCATATTAAAGAATGGGTACGGAAACAACCACATTTGAATATCAGAAATGGTTTGTACACATTTCCATACCACGCAAATGGGACCGCGTTAATTTTGCAGATGACCAAATGCTGATATCCTTTTTGAGAGGTAGCAAATGGCACATAACTGCCGCAAAGGAGAAGGTCGATCATTTCTACAGTACAAAAACCCTAATGCCAGAATTGTTCAAGGATAGAGATCCCTCATCTACGACAGTTCAGAAAATACTAAAAGCTGGGTAAGTTCTCTGAACAGGCGCGCGTAATAACTGAGAGTTTAGGGTTGTCTTTCCGATGCCCAAAGTGGGAGATTATCTCGGTCCAGTAATGATTATATATAATTTGAAAAATCTTGATGTGAATGAGATATCTTATGTAAACACCTTGAAGGTTTTCTTTATGACCTTAGAGATATTAATGAGGGAAGATGACGACTTTGTTGTTTCCGGAATGGATTTGTTGGCCGACCACGATGGATGCCCCCCGAGCTTTTACTTGCAATTTACGCCAGCGGTCATGAGCAAAACTACGCGATGTGTGCAACGCGTTTATCCCATTAGAGTGAAGAGTGTTGCGTGTATTCACACGCTGGGGGTGTATGAAATGATTTATGATAAACTCGTAAAGCCATTCATGGGGACGAAGCTTCAAGAGCGGGTTTGTTATAAATGCCATATTTGGCGATCTGTTAACAATACTAATTTTTAGTTTCACATTGTGAGCAAGGCACAAACGAAACAGTTTTTGAGTAAGTTACCTCAAAATGTACTACCAAAGGAGTACGGGGGAACGAATGTGTCAATACAAGATGCAGCGGGTGAAAAACACACGATCCTTTCGTTTCATTACAATTTGATTTTAGATCGTTGGAAGAAGAAAGTGGAAAGCTACAGGGCATGGTTTCTCGAGGACACAAAGTACCTTACAAATGACGAGCTTAGAGTCGGTGCATCATCGGTGCTAGAATGTGACATTGGGGTGGGGGTTGATGGAACCTTTCAGAATCTCAGTATTGATTGATGTCCTTTGATTATAACTTAATACTGAATACTTTCCAACGCTCTGAAGCGTGGGTAATGTGAGGTAATGGAATTAAATGTCAAATTTACAATCATCGAATAAAAACTTTGGTTTTTTGTAAAATGGAGTACCTACGTATTAAACAATTCACAGAATTAAACCAGCCTACTCGATTCAACATTCACAATGCAAATTTGTCCCCTCGGCTATTTATGAACCGAATTGCATGAAATTCAAACTGGGCATAGCCAGAACCATATCAAATGTCATGTCACCCCTTTGCCACTTTAGATGATGTATCGTTAGGGCCTAACTCGCGCATGTTCTATTGTTACCATATTCCAATAAAGTCTCTGTCCAAGAACAAGGAGAAATCTTGAGTTATTTTCAACTCAATTTCAGTTTCAGTTGTTGGTCACATAATTAAGCCTCTGGCGGACGCGACTAAGTTCGGTTCGATCTGCAATACAAGAGGTCTGTAATGAGAGAGGTCCGCTTCCAGGCCTTTTTTCTCGAAATCAACAAATTTCGGTTCTTGTGGCATATCCTTGGAACTAATCGGGATTGTATGGTTTTCTTTACAGAATGATAATTACACTTTAATCGCGCAATTTTTCCCTAATTCGACCATGTATAATTTCTGAGATCTCCGTGATAGACATCCTAATCTTGGACACAGTGTATGGGTACGCGGATTATATTGACGGGAATATTTTGAAAGGGGCCGTTTTGAGCGAGGCTATTTTGACTGGTTTATTTGATCCGGGCTATTATGACGGGGCCATTTTGACGGCACACAAAAATTTGTTATAAATTTTGTGATTTTGAATCTCAATGGGCCCAAAGGGTGGCTCCCGTAACTTTTCAAAGAGCCATAACCCACCCGTTATCGAGGTTTACAAGGCCTGGTTTATTTGGACGATGTTATAATTTTCCTTGAACGTAAATTTAATTCTAAATTGCAGCCAGACACATATAAGTTTCTACGCAAAGAAATTAATTATTTCACTTACAGAACAACAAAATATTAAGACGAAACCTGAAACTGCCATTATTTCACTTGTCCAAAAACCCAAAAACAAGTTCCATCTTTCCTTGGATTAGCAGGATACCATCGGAGCTTTATTTCAAAATTTAAAAAAAATTACGTCTCCACTTGAAGACTTAAGATTCATTTTTTTACTTGGACTGCTAACTGTTCAGAAGAGTAAATCTAGTTGATGCTTCAATGTCCGATATTTACCAAGAGGTGGCTTACGCAGACGAATTATTTAGAAAAGTGAAAAGAAATTTATAGCGTAATTGAAGAGGAATTATCAATAATCGTGATTCGTGTGATCTGTCCAACACTTTAAACCATATTTCATTGCAACTAGTCATAATCCTTGGCTTATCACCTTAGATTTAAATACGCTATGTGAAAAAAATACACAAAAAGCTGTCGTAAAGACGCGTTCGCATTATTACATTTTTTTGCTTCAGTTGATATATTTTCAGAAAATCCATTACTTCACCAAACTCCAAATTTGTTTTAAATTTTTGTAAATTGAAGAAACAAGGCGTCATTAGTGCCATTTGTCAAGTTCTCTCGATGCAAACGGTTGTAATTAACACTACGCAAAATGTTTACATGCCTGCGTCACATTAAATAATATTCTCATTAAAATAGCTACCAAGAAATCCATTGTCCAAGGCAACAAGTTGTGTTTCATTATTTAGAACTACCTACGTAGGTACTTTAAATATTACTTTGCAAAAGTTGATTAGTATCTTGCATTTATGTTATTATATAGTTTTCCCACAGGAATAATAATGAGAATAACCAAATAAATATGGCCATTTCACGAACATTCGACTACTTTCTTAAACGCCACCGTAGCAATGGGCATCGCTGTGAAAATTCGACCACTGCCAAAAGACCTCCAACAAAAGGCAGTAAGGGAACTAAATGAAGATCCAAAACGAATTCAAGAAGCAGTAGACCATGTTACGGAGTGGCTACAAAAGCAACCACATTTGAACGTCAGAAATGGTTTGTATCCAACCCTATGCATTGAACTGCGATCACGATAGCAGTTTTTTAGATGAGCAAATGACGGTGGCATTTTTGCGAGGTTGCAAGTGGAACCTTCAAATGGCAAAGGACAAGTTGGACACTTTCTACAGCGTAAAAACTGCATATCCCGAACTGTTTCAAGACCGAGATCCTTTATCTCCTGCGATCCAGAAAGTACTCGACGCTGGGTGAGTCATCTTCATACTATCGCAATGGTAAAGTTTTTGTTTGTAGAAATGTCTTCCCCATGCCTAAACCCGAAAATTATGTGGGGCCGGTATTTACTATTTACACTTTGAGAAATGTACAAGAAAATGAGATATCGTTACTCGAAACCATGAAGGTGTTTTTTATGACTTTGGAAATATTACTAATGGAAGATGACGATTTTGTTATTTCTGGAATTACTGGGGTGGTGGACCACAACGAATGTCCAGTTAGCTACTATTTGCAATTTACACCGGTTCTCATGAAGAATTTTTTGCAATGTATCCAAAATGCTTACCCGCTGAGAGTAAAGGGCTGTGCCGTTTTTAACACACTGACTGTATTTGAAACGATTTTCAATACGTTTATCAAACCATTTCTGGGATCGAAACTTCGAAAAAGGGTATGGTAGTATCTACGTACATTGATCAATAGTAAAAGTGCTTTCAGGTTACAGTTCCAAACAAAGAGCAATCAAAAGAGTTTCTAAGCAAATTCCCACGAAGTCTACTGCCAATCGAGTACGGTGGAACGAACGGATCGATGGATGATGCTGCGGGTGAGTCATACGTGACTCATTCTTTTCTTTGAAATTTTATTTCAGAACAATGGAAGAAGAAAGTGGAAAGCTATAGGCAATGGTTTTTAGACGACGCAAAGTATGGGACGAATGAAAAGCTTAGGGTTGATAAGTCAAAGACGATAGAGGATGGTGTTATAACTGACGGAACTTTTCGGAATCTTGTTATTGATTGACTCATTTATGATGTTGGTACTATTGCATACAAATAAAAGCAAAATCCCCTACACCGTATATTAAATTTCTCATGCTAAATTTGAACCATTTTGTAATGTGGTGACCGCGAAGCAAATTGTGACCGAAACGGATCGTCGAGTAAAAGCATTAGCAAAAGTAAACGATTCGTCTATACGCATCAGTCTTTCCGTATTGCAATCCAGCAAGTTGCAACTTTTGACGCTTAAAAGAGCACACAATCCTCAACCGCCCAAGAATATTAAAACCCTTATGTGGCTGGATCATTTGACTTTGTGTATCACGCTTTCCTTTCACTGTGTGTAGCCTATTTTGAATTTATGATGACTATTTGGTGGGGCTTTGTTATCTACATGACTACGCCTAGAATTTTGTAGAAGCTTTACATCACAAGGAAACAAACAGATAGGTTTGTATGTTGAAGAACCAACTAACTATGTTGTTAATTTGGGTGATGTTAAAGAAAGTAAAGGTCCTACGACACAGATGGAAATGCATTGGTTTAGGATTTTTGGTATCCGGCTACTTAACCCCCCCACCCCGCCCCCCTCACCAGCACGCGCAGTCATTATCATTATCTTTCTCTTTAGCAGCTCAGGAAATAATAATAAAAAGAAGCTAAAGAAACAAGTTGCAAATGTAAGATAGAAAAAAGGTAAAAACTGCCCTTTCTAGATATTTTTACGTAGAATCCAGTGGAGTAATGCAAATATTGGTATTTTTTAAATGCCCTTGTCAAATTTTTTGAATTCTTTTTCCTGATGACAATGATGTATCACAAGCTATATTTTTTTTCATTTTAGCTATGAACCAAAAATTAAAACTTTATTACGATTTGTACGCTTTTATACGGTTTTGGGCCATGCATTCATGGTAACCCATACCAATCAATAAAAATGGCTGACGGTAGAAACATGTCATTTCAAAATTTTGAGAAAAATGATCTATAATATATATAATTATATAAGCAGACAAAGCACGTGCTTTGGCCACCGGCCAAAAAATAATGAGAAAATCAGGAAAAGGAAAAAAGAAACTGAATTAATTTAAATATAAATGTTAAATATTTTTGGTTTACACAATATATTAATAACTTTGAAATAATAATGTAAAATATACACTTTGGCAATTATTACTTACTGAGTATTTCATGTGAAATGATAGACGCACGGTGGAATGCTCGCCCCATGAAATAGCAAATCAAAATACGCTGGCCCTGAACCCTAACCGGTAACATGACTTTTCCGAAATACGAGCCTCGTACTTAGGACTTTTCCAAAAATTAAACTTTTTACAAACAGTCTCGGGAACACTGAAGTCATTACATCGTCACCCCCGAAACAATGGGGCATAGAAACCAAAAAGGCGAGGATGTCGAAAGACCATTGGACTTGGACACGAGGCGCTCCTCACTCAGCTTTAAGGCCGATTCACACTATCGGTGCGATCGCGATCCGGCAATATTATACGAGTATTTCTATTTAAGGAAAAATATTTTTTCTGCGCGCTTTTTTGGGGTACTCTGTATACCTACAAACTATGCACAATACAAAAGCAAAATCGACGAGCCCGAGAAATATTTACGAACACGCCTTCATTTAATTTTTATTGAATTTATCTGTTCTTAAATCACAACCCTGTATGTACGTATACTTTTAGCAATCTTCTAACTGTATGTATTTTATCGAGGGTCAAATACACAAGAGCTTGATTTTTAATCGGATAATTTTATTTTTACACGACAGTTTCGTTGCAACGGAAAAACACCTCATCTGAACCTCAGGAGTGATGATGAATGAATACACAAACAAGTGTGAGAAATGCTTCAAGGATCTTGGCAAATAATCATGTGCTACATATTGCTTTAATTAATTGCTGTGTAAATGTAAATGTCGATTATTTTGACACAATTGGACTGGTATAATTTTCTAAGTGCTCTTCCATTATCGCTCATATAGTAATGTTGTAAGAGTACCTGCGAAAGCATCATGAAAATTCGACCTCTCCAACGACAACTGCAAGAAAAGGCGATAAAGGAACTAAATGAAGATCCAAGACGAATTGAACAAGCGTTGGATCTTCTGAAGGAATGGATACGGAAACAACCGCATTTAAATATCAGAAACGGTTTGTGGGTAACCTGTACTACTCGTGAAACCAAGTTGTATACTTTACAGACGATCAAATGCTGTTAGCCTTCTTGCGAGGGTCTAAGTGGAACTTGCAATTTACAAAAGAGAAATTGGACGTTTTCTGCAGTATAAAAACTCAAATGCCCGAATTGTATGAAGATAGGGATCCTTTATCTTCAGGAATTCAGAAAGTACTTAAAATCGGGTAAGTGTGGGCACCTCCTGTAAGTGAGTAAATCACTTTTGCAGAGTTGTGTTTCCGATGCCTAAGGCGGAAAACGACATAGGTCCAACTACAATTATTAGCAATATGAAAAATGTGGACGAGAATGAAATTACGTTTGTTGACATGTTGAAGGTCTTCTTTATGACTTTAGAGATACTAATGAGGGAGGATGACGGTTTTGTTGTTTCTGGGATGAATTTTTTGGCTGACCACGATGGATGCCCGGTTAGTTATTATTTGCAGTTTACTCCTGGTATAGTGAAGAATGCTACTACAAGTTTTCAAAGTGCTTACCCCATCAGGACGAAAAGCATGACCATTATAAACACATGGACTGTTTTTGAAACGTTGTATAATACGCTTATGAAGCCATTTTTGACCCCAAAACTTCGAGAGAGGGTGCGCTACCACGTCTACACCTACAGAACTTTTCTAATAGCAAAGTGCTTCAGTTCCAGGTTGTAAGCAAAGCACAATCGAGTCAGTTTCTAAAAGAGAGTCCCCTAAATTTACCAAGAGAGTACGGTGGAATGAATGAATCAATGACAAATGCAGCGGGTGGGAAACGTGTCATTTAATTTAGTTCTTACCATTAGTATTGCAGAGGAATGGAAAAAGAAGGTGGAGAGCTACAGGGAATGGTTTCTGGAAGACGCTATGTACGTTACGAATGAAGCACTCAGACCAAAGGTGCTAGAGAATGTCGATGTAGTTGATGGATCATTTCGTAGCCTTGTCATCGACTAATTTCTTTCAGAATGTAAAGCACTGTAGTATTGTTTAGCTGCAATAAATTTATTGGTGAGAAGGTGAATTTTCTGAACTACAGCAACCATTCTCTGGATGGTGGAAGAAAGGACCAGTCACAACTCTACCGTCTTCATAGTACTTACTTGGCAATATGATGTTCTTTAAATTTCTCTACATCCACAGATGGTTACATTCACAGAATACCTGCCGCTGAGTAATATTACTGCATATTACGGGTATTATGTTTCACTTCCGGTTCGAAGTCAGAATTAACTATGTGTGTTTTGGAGATTGCAATCTTCATTATTCTATTCCACGATTTAAGAGAACTCTTATTTTACCACCACAGGAAACCACTTGAAACAGAAAGTACAAAATTCTAGTTGGATAAAATTTGGTCTTGTGAGGGGACTTCTTGCAGCACACACACAACCCAAAGTGCCTCCAATTTTCAAAAAAAAATTTATTCCCCACCCCTCGGTGCTGTAACTTATCCTGATACCGAATCTGGACCTTTTTGACGTGTGACCGTTTTGGTAAAGCCATCATATTTAAATTGTGGCACAATCTCCCGGGAGTTTTTTGAAGGACGTGTACCTGTTTTCAATACGAGTCAATACCACACCTTGCAATTCGGAGGCTGTCCCTGAACATGAAGAAAATGCAGAAAATCTTCCATACCATCACCTCTTACAGGTAATAGGGTGAATGTTTCTTGCGGAACAATGTTGAATATTAGAATATAATATGTATAGGAGGTTGAATCATTTTGTTCTTAAAAATTCTCAAACACGAAGAAACTTTTTCCGTTTCCCTTTGGAAAGAATTGAAGATTGGGCCAAAATTTACAGATTTCAAAGTAACTCAGTCGGCTCCAATTTTTCGAACTAAAACGCATTTGGATTTATAACACCTAAGTGGACCCTATCAACATATCCCAAATTACTATTCGTGGCCCGCCCTATAACATCTAGGAGGTTATATCGTTGCAAGGACTTATTTTACAGTTGCTAATGAGTACTTACACAAGATTTCTCACAGGAATAATAATGAGAATCATTACCTATATAAATATTGCATTTCACAAACATGTTTAAACGCAACTGCAATAATGAACATTTCTGTGAAAATTCGACCCCTAAAAAAAGATCTCCAAGAAAAGGCAGTAAGGGAACTAAATGAAGATCCAAAACGAATTCAAGAAGCATTAGATCAAGTTACGGAGTGGCTACAAAAGCAACCACATTTGAATGCCAAAAATGGTTTGTTTCCAACCCTATTCACTGAACTGTGATTACGATTACATAATTTTTAGATGAGCAAATGACGGTGGCATTTTTGCGAGGTTGCAAGTGGAACCTTCAAATGGCAAAGGACAAGTTGGACACTTTCTACAGCGTAAAAACTGCATATCCCGAACTGTTTCAAGACCGAGATCCTTTATCTCCTGCGATCCAGAAAGTACTCGACGCCGGGTAAGTCATCTTAATACAATTCCAATCGTAAAGGTTTTGTTTGTAGAAATGTCTTTCCTATGCCTAAACCGGAAAATTATGTGGGGCCGGTATTTACTATTTACACTTTGAGAAATGTACAAGAAAATGAGATATCGTTACTCGAAACCATGAAGGTGTTTTTTATGACTTTGGAAATATTACTAATGGAAGATGACGATTTTGTTATTTCTGGAATTACTGGGGTGGTGGACCACAACGAATGTCCAGTTAGCTACTATTTGCAATTTACACCGGTTCTCATGAAGAATTTTTTGCAATGTATCCAAAATGCTTACCCGCTGAGAGTAAAGGGCTGTGCCGTTTTTAACACACTGACTGTATTTGAAACGATTTTCAATACGTTTATCAAACCATTTCTGGGATCGAAACTTCGAAAAAGGGTATGGTAGTATCTACGTACATTGATCACTAGTAAAAGTGCTTTCAGGTTACAGTTCCAAACAAAGAGCAATCAAAAGAGTTTCTAAGCAAATTCCCACGAAGTCTACTGCCAACCGAGTACGGTGGAACGAACGGATCGATGGATGATGCTGTGGGTAAGTCATACGTGACTCATTCTTTTCTTTGAAATTTTATTTCAGAACAATGGAAGAAGAAAGTGGAAAGCTATAGGCAATGGTTTTTAGACGACGCAAAGTATGGGACGAATGAAAAGCTTAGAGTTGATAAGTCAAAGACGATAGAGGATGGGGTTATTACTGACGGAACTTTTCGGAACCTTGTGTTTCCTTCCACGAATTTCATGACATTAAAATCTCTTCCCTTTTTATCATTAAACATTTACGTAGTTAAGTAAGTGTGCCCAATAGATAATTATGTTTTTGTCCAGAAATAAGTTCGTTTGATCTAGTAATGCAAAAAATCGGATAAGGAAAGGCTTAAATAATGGCACCGATCATATTCAGGTACCTACACTAACCAAGATATGACTTCGAATTTTAATAAGGAATAAATATTTTTATGTGTTTTCTTTAAATTAATGGCATAAACATATAAAAGGAATTTATGGTTTTCTTTACTTCAACACGTTTATTACTGTCATTATAGGTTCTGTAGAAACAAATTGAAAAGAATTTAAATAATTCGAAATTATAATTTATTGTTTCTAATGGTATGGCAACAAAGTCGTCTTAAAACACATTTATTGCTTGTTAAATATTGTGTGGGTTTATTTACATTAACTTTTTTAACCGGTCATAAATTCCCCCATCGGGGTCTCGGCCGTTTTAGGGTGGAAGATTAAGTTTTATTTGTCTTTAAATCGAACGCTCGACAATTGGCGAAGAATCTCGCGTACGTTCTCGAAATTTGTGTAAGAATGTGCTAACAGCAGAATTTTCGTATAAATTAGTGAGTAAGTTGTCAATTTGCAAAATGTAGTGCCAGGTGGTGGGCGGTAAATGGATGTGTGACAGTGCTCGTTATAGACGAAATGAGTTTGGTTTTACAAATGGATCCAGGTCCACCCTGTTAGCGGGTTCTAAGTTTCACTCAGTATCGATATATTCATTAGCATCCCTACTAAAAGAGGCAGTATTTCACTTAGCAACCGTAAATAATGTGTCTATATCATTAAAATAATCGTGAAGCTCACTAATCAGGATTGACACCATCGGAGGATAAATTCTTCTACAAATCCTAGATGAGAACTCAATTGGTCCAAAAAAAATAGGAAAGAACAAGAATTAAAGTACCATGACGATAATAAGTGGGATATCAATCAACGACTCTCTGTGGCTGCGTCTCGGTAATAAAAGTGAAGGTTAATGTTGTGCAGCAATCATGGTAATATTACTGGTAATCGTATAACGTAATATAATTATGATAAAAGATTTATTCTAAACGTAAAAAAATTAAAATTGTAGGTATGAGAAAGGGTGAATGCCACACCACCTACTTCGCAATCATAACACATGAAGGGGTGTAATTAACGGATTTTCCTAGGGTTTTGTGTAATTCTTCTACAATTTTTACACCAAGATTTCGTAGGGGTGCGCAAAAAATTCCCAATTGCGACGAAATTTGTGGCCTGACTATCTCTAAACATGAAGATAACGAAACACCTAGCCCCAACGACATTTAACGGCACCATGTCATTTGGACAACATAATCTCTGTTTTCTTCACTCAATATTTTTCTTATCTTCGAAATATTCCTTCCGCAATTGTCTTCCCTCTAAAATGTTCCTTTCAAAAGTCTTAATTTTCCCTGGTCCGCCGCTGATAACGTCATCGCCTCCATTCCGTACGTCACGCCCAGGTTGGGATTATTCGGTAAAAAATTTAGGCATTTGGGGAAGAGAGTTTATTTCCAACTTGATCGGTTGATCTGATTGCTGCTTGGTATATCCTCATTTAGGCGGGCCTGCTTATGCTTTTGTCTTTCATTATACTTTTGTATTTATGGTTGGCTCTATACCCTGCCGGCATTCGTTGGTTCAGTGGTCCTTTCATTTTTGTTGTTAATTATGACCCCTAAGTACAACATCAAACCGGTAGTTTCCCTATATATATTTATTTTCGTTATTCCTTGCTTTACTCCATGTATTTCGTTTTTTCTTGGTTGATTTTCAGTTTGCCCCATGTTTGATCATTTCGTTTTGTATTAAAAAATAATTACAACCACTTTATTGATATATAAAATTTTTGATGACATTAAACGCCCGAATTCATTCCAAATGCGTTAAAACCAAATACAACGTCCCACCTGACATTGTTTATACACAGCAATATATCTACGTATTTATTGCTATGCAAATTAATAATTATAGTGAAGTCTATAGATGAATGAAATCTTTTCATTGATTTTTGAAAACTGGAGTAATATCGTATCATTCAAAATTACTGTTTCTTTTTGTTATTATGCGCTACTAGTTAAGTATTGTATATTCAGGTTGAAGATATCATTCAAATTTTTTTAATTTCTTTAAAAATGGAATCATGGATTAATCTTTTATAGTATCATCAACATTCACAGTATTATTTTGCGCAAGTCTACATTTAATCAAAGATGAAACGATCTATGTCACCACACCAATATTTCCCAAAGGCATAACAATTGAACACAAGCCAAACACAACAATCTGCATACGTTGCGTACAGTTTACCGTTTTTTTTGTTTATCTGTACAAAGAGATTGTCGATTTATCTTCTTTTCACTGCATCAGAAAGGATTATGGTAGTTGGTCACTGAGTAGGATATATCAAAAGTAAAAAACACGAATTTGATTAAGCGAGTCTCGTTTAGTATCCAGATATCGACAATCCATGGAAGTTTGTTAAAATATGTGTAGTACAAGGACGTTAAATAAATTGAAGACCTTGTATTCATTATTTCCAGATTAAGTGTCCCTTGATTAATTTCGAATTTCGAGATAAGCGAACGGAAAGTATGCTAAAAGCTTTTTAACACAAACACAGAATTCGGATTCCCCGGTAATCATTTTTGTTATCGTTCCGCCATAAAAACTAGTGTCCACATATGTTAAATTTATTATGTTATTAAGTTAAAAGTGGTCGTAAAACTTGGATACATATGAAACCAGATTCTTCATTGCCGATATAATCGGTTTATTATCGATACTAACATAGATTCATAAAATAACTGAACGTTTACATCACTCAGTGTCCAGAATTCAACACAACTTTAATGCACCAATAACATGTTAATGGACTTCCAATAACTAAACATACAATAAAGGATTGAGACCTCCAGCGATGTTAGATTCATTACACGAATGTAATGGATAACGTATCGACAACGCGCTCATTTCATTTTACATTACTTTACCTTCGCAACTATAACAATATTATCACTAAATATCCTTCCCTTTTAGCCTCGTGTTATGTTAACGTGCTGCACTTATGTGTATAGTCCTTATGTGTTCACAATAACGTGTATTGCAACTGCAGTTTTATGTCTCGTGTTTTATTAAGGCATTGAGGGATAAATTCAACTACCTACTTAATCCGCCACTTCTATAAAGCTGTAGCTATCATCAACGTATATGAGAACCAATTAAAAAAATGCTCACCAGTTGTAGAAGAAGAAAAAGATGAGTCCGAAAATGAAAATGAAAAAATTAGATATCCTCTTTAATTTGTTCTCAAAAACAAGTGGAGGATGCAAGACTAAAGACGCGACAATTAGCAGCTTCACTAGGGGTTTCACAATCCACGGTTTTTAGAATTTTAGCGAATACTTGCTTTAAATTTTCAAGCATCAAATTTCAAAATTCATTTGGAAGTTTGTGAATATTCACCAAAAATTTCAAAATTCAAGTCCATTTCAAATAAAGCTGCCCTTAGGGTGTTTCGGCTTGAATTCGCCCACTTTAGACGTACGCATTGAATTTTCAATTGTCATATTTCAAAATTCATACTGAACTTTGAGAATATCTCGGAGAATATTCACAAAAAATAACTTCGCTTTAAATTTGTAGGCTTCAATTCGCCCACTTTAGGCGCACGAATTGAATTTTCAGCGTCAAATTTCAAAATTCATCCTGAAGTTTGAGAATATTTTCCAAAAATTTCAAAATTCTGATCTCACACTTGGAATACCTCTCAAAATGAAAGTCCATTTCCAATAAAACTTCGCTTTAAATTTATAGGCTTGAATTCGCCCACTCTAGACGTACAAATTGAATTTTCAAGCGTTAAATTTCAAAATTCATCCTGAAGTTTGGGAATATTCACCAAAAATTTCAAAATTCTGATCTCACACTTGAAATTCCTCTCAAAATGAAAGTCCATTTCCAATAAAACTTCGCTCTAAATTTTTAGGCTTGAATTCGCCCACTTTAGGGGTACGAATTGAATTTTCAAGCGTGAAATTTAAAAATTCATCCTGAATAGAATATTCACAAAAAATTTCAAAACTGGTGCAAAATGGTTTTGGCATTTCAATAGGTATAGGTATTGTCCATTAAACCTAATTTCTTGCAATCAATAATAAAGGCTCCTAAATATGTAACTTCGAAACTTTTTCGACTTTTTTATACATTTCGAACTTTGGAAAGCAAAATAATCGGCCTAATTTGTGGTTATCGTACCTAAGATCTGATTTTAGTAGTTTGTTGACATTGTTTGTGGGATGCCAAGCCTCTAGCGCCATTTGCCCACGCTACGCCACTGTCTTAAACAGAGTTAATTTATTACACCTAGCGTGCACTTTCCAGACGAACATCTCTCGCGAAAAAGTGTCCCTCAGATCTCGAACCAGACCACAGACTTTTTTATAATTTATTTACGTTATATCAACATAAAACTAAGTATAAGATCAGATAACTAAAGCAATAAAGTCCACATTATCCAGTCATTAAAATGGCATAAAACAATAAACTTTTAAAGTCTTTGAAATAGTGTCTAAAAGAATTTCAACATAAATTGCTCTAGTCAATTTAGTGACAATAAAAATTTACATTGCTAAAGTTAATTAGAAATACCAAAAAATGTCCGCCGATTAATTGGCGATTTTTAAAAAAAAGGGGGTGCCTAATTAGCGTCTCTCTACCTAACGTTCACACGTAGATAAACAATTCAAAGCAGGTCGCATTCCGATTTTGCCGTTTTTTTGCAAACTTTCGCCGCCAAAGCGGATAACGAGACGATTTGTTTACGCTTTCGCGAAAAATTCGTTTGTCGGGTCGAAATTTACATGGATTTTAGATATTTTTGTATAAATAACGCGAGGACGCGACAGGAGCGTCTGAAATGATTAACGCGAGGGATGATTGATGCAGTGACGTCGTAACGACGCGCGACGCGACGGGTGAGACGCGGAACGAGTGATAAATTGTTGTTATAATTG